TTTGAAGATATGTTTAGAGATGTTTTTTATCCCTGTTTTAAAAAAAAATACTCGTCAAACCTGTCAACGTGATATTTTAAAACATTATCAAACGGAACAAGAAAAAATAATTTCTTATTTTAAAAAATTAGACTGTACTTTTTTTAACTTCTAATATTTGGACATCTAGAGCACAAACTGGTTATTTATGTATCACAGCACACTGGATTGATAAAAATTGTCAAATGTTTAAAAGAGTTATTTTTTTTATTACATTTGAAAAGTCACATACAGATATTAATGTTGCAAATTTAATAATTGAATAACTTATGAAACTAAAAATTGATCAAAGAATATTTTCCCTTTCACTAAATAATGTAAGTAATAACAATGTAACTGTAGATTTTATCAAAATAACTATGTCGTTGCCATGTCATGGTGATCTTTTTCATATTAGATGTATATGTTATATTTTAAATTTAATTGTTTAAAGTACATTCACTGAAATTAAACCCATGATAGAAAAGGTTAGAATAGTTGCTTATATGCATAATGCTTTTGAACAAAGACTTAAAAGATGAAAACAAATTTATAAAAGAAATAATATTAAGCCTAGACTAATTCCAAAAGATGTTGACTATAGGTGGAATTCCACCTATGCAATGTTAAGTGTGACAATTGAATATAAAAAATTATAAATAATTTTATAAATTATTTTGCTTCTAGTTCTAGCTTTTGTAGCACTTATGGAATAACTAAAGATGAATGGACAATTATATGTAATTTAAATGAGATGTTACAAGTTTTTTATGATGCTACAATGCTATTATCTGGCTGTTATTATCCTACTATTACTTTAGCTGCTTTACAAATTTTAAATATTCAAAAAAATTATCAAATATCGTATGAATGATACTTTTGGACAGATAATTTTTCAAATAAAGAGCAAATTTAATAAGTATTTTAGGTCTATTCCTCATATTTTTGGTTTGGGGTTCTTATTGATCCATGTTTGAAGGATATTGGCCTTCGAAGTTTGTTACAATCATTGTATGGTGGATAGATTATAGACTTAGATGATGGATCTACCCTTACTGCTACTACTCATCATTTAGCTATTAGAAATTATTTTTCAAAACTTATATGATGAGTATGCAGCTAGAATGGTGTAGCTGCACAACAGTGTGCAGCTTCGGCGCCTTCGAGCTCAAGCCGAGGTTAAAGTATAAGTTTTGATAGGTATGTAATGGTAGCTGAGCTAACTGGTGGATCTGGACTTGGATCATCATTGGAGGTTTCTGAAATATATGAATATTTATCTGCTTCTTTAGTTAAATGTTAATGAAATACTTTAGATATTTTGCAATGGTGGAGAGTATATGGATCAGTTTCATATCCTATAATTTTCACCATGGTTCGTGACTTACTAACAGTGCAGGTTTCGACGGTAGCTTCGGAATCCGCCTTCAGCACAGTAGGACGTTTGATCGACGACCACGGGACATGCTTAGATCCGTATATTGTACAAACGGTGATGTGCTTACAAGATTGGTGGAGGTACGAGAAGCGAACGCAAGACATTTATCGGATGGCTGAAATTAAAGATAAATTTGAAGAGTTGGGACTAGCAGATAGATATAAAGATTAAACAATATTCATCAAATTGTAATTTTTATTTCTTAGCTTTAAATTTATAATGAATTATTTTGAAAACAGTTACAAATGATAGTGATATAGGTGAGTAGGTGTCAACCTAGTTGGGATGTACTCATCTATTGTGATGCGACGAATTCTAAAATAAATTTATACTTGTAAAGGATTTACTGATTATTAATAAAGAAGTTATTTTTATCATCTTTTATTTTTATAATTTTTTGTATTTGTAATCTATGTCATTTCAAGTTATTAATAATATGATTGTTTTTTCTTATAATTTTTTTATATATATTTCAAATTTAAAGAGATTTTTAAAAAATTAATAAAAATTTAAAAAACCCGGGCCGGTCCGGAGCCCGACCCGCTCAGGCCTGGGCCTGATTTTTCGGGTCGGTCCGGATGGACAGGCCTAGATACAGGTAAAACCGCATATACTGATATGTGGTGGCCTCCTCATACATAAGCATTCGGGATTGGGATCCTCCACTAATGCATAGTGTCTCCTAATATCTCCTAATGCATCTCCATCTTTTATTTTGTGCATAAGCACAAAATACGAGGAGGTACTATGCAATGAAAGGTGGAGATGCATTAGGAGATATTAAGAGGTACTATGCATTAGTAGAGGAGCCCAATCCAAGCATTCGGGGGGTGAGTTTGTGGGTGTCGACGGAATCAGGTGAGCGTAGGCGGAGAGTATAGAGGTTGGGGATATCGCGTGGGGGCAGCCATCAATAGTCTGTAGTTCATGTCGAGGGGAAGGGAGACAGGCGCACCGCCGACGAGGGGCCCTTCAGGATATTCGGCATCATTAGTCCAAGATACGGGGGATAATTATTTGTTACAAGCTTAATTAATAAAAGTTTGAAGGTAGAAATGGTGGTTTAGCAAAATTTATGCATAAGAAAAATAGATAGTACAAAGGTGTAGGAAATAAACAAACATAGAGCAAGCCGGTTAAATAACCAGTGGTTAGAGTTTCTCCGTTAATTTGTTCATTTTTTTAACGAGTTTACTAGCATGAAGTTATCATTCACACAACAAAAAAATATATAATATAAAAATAAAAATGAAAAATAAAAAATAAAAATAAAAAACAAGTCAAGTGAGCTACTTTACTTAGCCCAACAACCCGCAAGTGAGCATTTTTAATAGTTATAGAAAACCATTAGGTGCTCTGTGATAGAAATTTTAGTGTTGTTTATTATAATTTTCAAAACTAATGTTGCGTTAGGCAAACTCTTAAAATTGGGTTAGAACCTGGCATAGTTTTTGATTAATTTATAATTAGCAAAAATTAGACCAGTTCTAGCCCAGTTCTTCTTAGGCTGAAAATATGCCTTAAAACCAGTTTAGTATGGGACCAACACTCATTTGGTCCAACTCTAAACTAGTTTAGAATTGGGCTAGGATTGAACCTAACCCAGTTTTTAGGTGATTGCCATTTAGCAACTTTATAAAATAGGGCTAGGAGTGAACCATACTCAATTTTAAGTGACTTCTTATTTGGCAAATAAAAGGGTTAGAACTGACCCAATTTTTTTTATATCCTAAAATTAGCAATTAAATTAGTTTTTTTTTGGACCAGGAGGCCCGGGGTTGTCCAAAAGAAAACTAGTTTAGTACAAAACTGAGACTAGTCCTAACCCAGTTTTGTATAGTTTGTGAAACACACCTTAAATGACAGTTTAAGAGAAGCTAAGAAAGTTGACATAGTGTAACACATTCAAGCAATTATATCTAGTATAACAATACAGTGCCAAGACTGGAGCACCGCAACATTTAATTGGAAACAAACGTTAATCCTCGTGTTCTTAAGGGCTTGTTTGGATTTGGAGGGGGTGAAGGGAAGTTAGGGGAACCTAGGGGAAGTTAAGTTAAGGGAAGGGAAGGGAATTTCTAAAACTTGTTTGGGAAACTAGTAAGGTGAATCAAGGGGAAGTTATTTCACCCCGTTTGGAAAGTGTAATAACGGGAAGGGAAGGGAAGGGAATGTATATAAATTGACATAAATACTCTCACATATTATTAAGTTATATTGTTGTTAAAAATTTTAGCCGTTGGATTTTGATCTTAGCTAGGGGTAAATATATCTCTCTACATTTGTTGTATTCCCCCTCTTTACCTTCACCCCCATTACACCCCAAATTTGGGGGGGAGGGGGGGGGGGGAAGAAATCATGTTATTTTTTCACCTCCTTTCACCTCCCCTCACCCCTATTAACTTGCTATATTTACTTCCCAAACAAGGTTAAAAGTTACCCTCCCTTCCCCTCACCCCCATTACCCTCAATCCAAACAAGCCCTAAAGTTTCTAACCATTATATCCAAGCTTCGAAGCTATGGTGACGATTGAGCGTTATATTCTTATATTGCAGCATGTCTTTGTATGTGGATCGGGTTAAGGGCTGAAACTTGGACTTACTCAACAATATCAAATTTTTAAAAATCCGTATTAAATTCATGATCAGCAAGGTTCAACCTTGAATCATTCTAATACCATCTTAAAGTCTCTAATCACATCAAAAATTTGATGTTGCAATGAAGATTGAGGATTATATTATATTCTGATGACTACGAATCATCTCAGAAACCAAGCACATGCGAGTGGTCAGTTCTGACCACTTATTTTGCAGGGTAAAATTCTAAATCCACCCCCCCCCCCCGCCCCCCACTATTTTGGTAGCGAAAGGTCAGAACCGACCGTTCACATGCGATCAGCTGAATCGACTTCCTTACTATTTGCAGCGAAAAGTCAGAATTAACTGCTTGCATGCAACCAGTTCTAATAAAAAGGGGACTCTATTCTAACATAGTGAGCAAACACACAAAAAATAATTTATTCAATTAAAAAAGCACAAAAGCAACAGCACATGATAAGGAAGAACCACTCTAGAAACGTCCAGAAAGTAAAAATTCTTATGGGCCACTATCCATTGGCCCTAAAGTGAAGCACTCACACACACCTTTAAAACTTTGTCAAGTGGCGCTTATGATGATTATAGGCCAGCAAAATGCTGGCGTTATGGGGGGTACACCATTAGCTTTGCTTTGCGACTATCTCGTTGATGTTGGTCCTGTGTTTTCTTTGTCTTTTCCTTAAAATATAGAAAGCGTGGGCGGAATTGTTTGTATTTGTAGCAGTTTCTGTCCATTCATCCATCATACCCTTCTGCTGAAACCATTTAACATATTGCCTTCTGTTAGCAAATACGGTAACACGGGCAGAATCGGCTGCAGCGATTAGCTTAAGAAAAAGATTAATTGTGCAGCAACTCCTTCAGCATTACGTTTGCGCCATTTATTATCTTTTAAATATTAGTGACATAACTCAAATAGTACAGAAAATCTTAGCAGTTTAACCCCTTAAAGAATAATTATAGTTGCAGAACTTTGTAACAAATTGCGGACAAACTTATCACCCTTTATTAGGTAACATATTTGTGTACCTCAGATATTGTTATTACATTTAATTTGACAATTCCTTTGAATCAACAGGCCTTGAATCTATCAACCTGGAAGTACCAAGCTACCTTATTACCAGCAACAACTGCATGTAACTTCAACCACTCCAAAGCTTGCAACCTCTGTAAATCTTCAACCCTGACTGATAACCTTTCAGAGCGATCTCAGATCATCGATCTAGGTGAAGTAGAAGCTCTACATGGCATCTTTTGACAGCAAGTTGTTTGACTGGATCCTACGAGCATTGTTCAGCTGGTCCACTGCATCACCTCTCTCAAACACTGCTGCTGCTCCCATCCCAGAGCCTGCACGGAAGTTTTTTTTTTAAGTAAATGACAGAATTTCCAGAGATGGGTTTATTCACATTAAAGTGGACAGAAAAAGATAAGAAAGAAACCCACCTATGCACATAGATACAACTCCGAAGCGACAGTCTTTCCCTCGGCGTCCCATTTCATTCAACAGAGTGCTAACACAGCGTGCACCTATGGACAAGCGAAAAAATGACGGTGAATTTATCATATGAAGTTTCATCAAGTAGCATCTATCAACCAGAGGCTTACACTGGAATTGCACAGGTGAAAGATTAGTCATGTACTCTGACATCTTTACTTGACAATGTTTCAAAGGTTAAGCAGATAATTACCTACTAAAATTTCACACAATCATCATATCATATGGACCTATGTTAGCTGCATAATTCTACCTCAAGCTTGAGCATCTTTGCATGTAAATACCTATCAGACAAAACAAAAACTAGCTAAAAATTATATACCACCCGTTCAGATAGGAGTTCACACAATCCTCGTACAATGATTTGAAATCTTTTCATATTAGTTCACTGATTGTAGCTACAGATAGGAGTTATTTGATATAGGAACGCCTCGAACAAATAAAAGCACGTCAGAAGAACATATGCATACTAATTAGTTAGTTTTGAATTAAATACCACCCGAAACAAAGACCCAATTCACCGCTATGCTTGGTATCTTCCATGTTATCTAGAGATGGGAATTGATTTTGTAAAATACCTGTTGCACCAAGTGGATGTCCAAGAGCAATAGCGCCGCCGTTTACATTTACTTTAGCAGGATCAATCTCCAACTTTTTGCAGCAGTACACAAATTGGGAGGCAAAGGCCTACATAATTAATATGCAATGTTTTTAGTTGCATGGTTTACCACTGCGATTATGATAGCAAATAAAACAAAGATCTCCTTATCATTTACCTCATTTATTTCAAAAAGATCAATGTCCTCAATTTGAAGACCAGCAGATTTAACTGCAGGAGGGATTGCAGCAGCAGGACCAATACCCATAATAGCAGGATCCACCCCGACCGCAACAAAGCTCCTACAAGATTTTACATACATTGATCAAACTGATTGAAAGGGTTTTCTTTATTCAGATGTCAAGAATGACATCCTAAAATAGAACTCAGAATCAACTAAAAGTAATAGGACTAGACTCTGTAATGACAGAACCTGAATATGCCAAGTATAGGCAACCCTTTCTGCATTGCTACATCCCTCCTCATGAGCAGAACTGCTCCAGCACCATCACTCACCTGACTTGAATTGCCTGGAAATAGATACCTCAACTCAAAATCTACATGCAGTATACATCTATAATGTTTTATCCTAAAGAGAAAAAGGAACATTCAAATACCAGCTGTTGTGCTCCCATCCTTCTTAAATACTGCTCGAAGCTTTGCCAGACCCGACACTGTAGTCTCAGGACGTATTCCATCATCTACAGATATGGTGACTTGTTTTTCTTCTCCACTCTTTGGGTCTACAATCTGCAAGAAATACAACTCTACATTAAATAACTGAAAACTGTGTTTATGGTTGATAGAATATCACTTTTAACAACAGAAAATGGGGTAATTGGTTCCGAAACTCCTAACAATAAGCACTGCTTGACCCTACTCACAATAAAAATGAAACTACATTTGGTTGCTCGAAGAACATTTAGACTTCTAAACAGGTAGTTGAGAAAAAACACAGAAGTTGGATGGAATTTCTGTATTCATTTTATCTTATGGGGACAATAGCCTCATGTTTTTGCACTTTTTCTTTGCAGATCCCTGACCATTTACCAGTACTTCAAAGAGAAGGTTTGATTAAAAAACATTACAAACCAAGAAAAAGGCTTGAAATAACTTTCTAGAGGTCATCTCTAAATTTTCAGTATTCACCATTCACCAAACAATTTCTGAGTGGAGAATTCGGAGAACAATATGACGTTGATAATTACTCAAAAAAAAAACTCAGCTTAAATTCTTTTTACTTATGATAATCCCAGATATCAATAGAAAAATCTGCATGACACATGGAGTAATAACGGCTTTCACCTTTGTCATCACAGGAACAATCTCATCTTTAAATTTACCGGACGCAGTTGCTGCAGCTGCTTTCCTATGAGATTCAACCTAAAAACATCCAACATAGCCATGTCAGAAGCAGGAGGGGTTATTTTCAAAAATAAGAAAATCAATGTTGAGAAAACTGACAGCAGCTTGATCCTGTTCTTGTCGGGTTACACCAAAACGATGGGCTACATTTTCAGACGTAATTCCCATAGGAAGAAGACAATCTTGAGCTTGTTGGAAATGCTTCACCTAAAGTATCAAAAGAGATGAATTATTTAAGTAGGAAAATATGACCTCTTGAACTTCCATCCAAAAAAAAACATGAATCATCTCATATATGCAACATAAGGCATACTTTTGGGTTAATGGATCCTTCCCAAGCAACTTGGTTTGCAGTCATGGATTCCAACCCTGCCCCAATACCTGCAATGAATTAAAAACGAATTAGAGAAGGAATACAAAGTTTACATATACTTAACAAAACAACAAACAAAAACCATACCAATGTCATAATATCCAGCTCTTATGGCAGCAGCAACATCAGCAACTGCTTGAAGGCCAGATGAACACTGCCTGTTCACAGTTCTGATTGGAACAGTTTCTGTGCAATCCAACATAATGCTTAAAGATGGAATTTAAGAGTGACAACATGCAAAAGGAAGGAAACATGGAATGAACTTACCAGGAAAACCGGCATAGAAGGCAGCCATCCTGCATTCATTTGCTCTTTGAGCACCTGGTGCTAAGACTGTACCAACCACGATATCACCAACTTCCTTTGGGTCCAGTTTGGTCTTATCTATCACTGCCTGTAACAACGATTTGTCATGAGAAAATAAACAAAGGATTGCAACTGTTATGACCTCAAATAAACTAAATGACAGGCACAATATATAGGTGAACTAAAAGCAATCTTCCTAAAAATCTCTATTGTTTTTAACATAAAAATGCTTTTACTCCAGCAATTGCCCTGACTATGAACGAGGCAGAACTTCAACTTTCCTCCAAAATGAGCACATATCACTGTGCTTTCTTTCTAATTCCTTCAGAACATAATTTCGCAGCTTCCACATTCTGTGCTTCTAAATGGTTCTATGAGCATTCCATCTTCCTCTCTCGTTGGTCGCACATTTCACATTACCATCAACCTCACGTCAGCTTTCCTTTGATGCACCCAAACCACAACCTCCTATCAGATAATAAACTCCTTGTCTTACCTAACTCCCAAACCTTCAAACTCCTCTCAGCAGTATTTTATTTTGGTTTAATCGTGTGTGGAAGAGATGAAAGAAACCAATTTTATTAATATTGAAACAATAAAAATGTGAAAGACTGACTCTTTCCTCCTAAGGGTGGACACTGTCCGATTTAATTATCATCAATTTATTTTAGCACCTCAAAATAGATACAAGTAAAGACTTGAGGCAAACCTTCAGAACAGGAGTCAGCAGGTCTTCAGGATATGTATCTTTAAAGCCTCCTCTCTTGGACTTGCAAATTGCAGTTCGGTAAGCACTGCAGAAATAAGGGCAAAAATACCAAGAATGAGCAAAGATACCCCAAAAGTGAATTGCACAGCACATGCATCACGACGCATTGAAAAGATTCAGGACCAAACAATCAAACGATTCGACAACTGAAGGTTCATCTCTTAACTAGATTGGTGAACCCCTAAGACAATATTAGCAAGCAAGCGGCACATAAATGAATAAGGTTACAGCACATAAATGTAGAAATCAGCAGATAGCAGAGCTTACTATTAAAGTCTCCTAATTTTTCTACAGAAATCCAAAGAGAATAATTTCTGCAAATAACACTATTTCACAAGATCCCCCCACGGCCGCCATGGGTACCCAAAACAGTAATTTCTACAATTAGTAGATAATGAAAGGCCTAGCTTAAAATGGACCATCACTTACGCAACAATGACGACATCATCGCCGAAGCTAGGGTTCCTCGAGTACGCAGCACTGTCCCCAGCAGCGCACACCGACGCCTGAACAAAGCCAACCAAAATTCACAACCAACACCTAGAAATCCCCCGATTTCGAGATCGAGTAACCGAAACCCTAGGTCCCCATCGAAGTCGGGAGAACTCACCGAGAGCACGGAGGAATCACCGGACGAAGGAGGGAGGAGGTGCTGAAGGAGAACTCTCTGCCTGTTGATCGCCTTCTCCATTGCGAGGGTCTCCCTAGATCTCGGCCCGCTGAGTCTCGTTCGGAGTTTGACCGCGATCGCGAATAGAAAAATGTTACCCGCACGAAAGGAACTCTTTCTATACGAAGCTACGGCATGGCGGTTGGATTGAGAATTTAATGCTGGGCTCGACGCACGCGGCCTCGTTTGCGCAATTGCAGGCCCACTTGTCAGCGAGCGGGCGGTTTATTGTGTTGATTTGCAGGAGTATTAAAATGTGTGGATAAGGTTTGCTGAGTTGTGGACGGATATGGGAATGCGTGACCGTAACGGCTTCTAGAAAGACACACGCATCGGCTCCCTGACGCTGGGCTGAAGGAGTCCGTTAGAGGCCGATGAAGGATGATAGGCCGGCCCATTAGGATCTCCATCTAATTGCACAGTTTGTTAAGGAGGTCTGGTGCTGGACCTTTCGACACACTGTACTTGGCCCATGGGCTTCTGTCGACAATAGTTCTTAAAGCGGAATATTCAGGAAAAAAGTGTTTGCTTTTAGTATTTAAGCATTCGACAGTAGCCCAAGTGTAGCTTAAACGAATATTTAGTATTACAAACATGCGCACAGGTCCAGCTATTGACATCACATCGATCCACGTACGTTTAATGTCATGGCTCTGATGTGCCGGATATTTTCTCCTTAAACAAATATTTACAGTTTTTGATATTAATGAAGCTTGCCCCTCTATTGTCATTAGTGGCCTCTACTTCTCTACCTACTTCGCCTTAAATAAAAGCTTATCCTTGATAGATCAACATGAACTCAGATTCAAGTTTTGGTTATGACTTTCGAGAAAATCATATCATATCATACTCTCTTTAAAAGTACGAGTTCGGAAAAATCTTTCTATGGTCAGTATTACCCTTAGCATTTTTTGAATATTACATTGTTATCCTAATTTATTCTAATTATCTTCTTTGAATTGGTAACCAAATTATTTATTTTATTCATAATGAGACTTAACACGTTATTTGATAAAATAGAATGGATTTAAAATAATTTAAATCATTTACTAATTTCAGTTTGTAGAGAAATCTAAAAATATATGTCAGCCAACACTTACAAGTTTTTGAAGTTTATAAAAAAAATTCTCAAAGTATTTTAATTGCAAAAACACCCCTACAAATTTAAAATTTTATTATTATATTTAAAAATTATAAATTTTACTTATCTCAATTTAGTGAGAAATCTGAAAAACATATGCTAACTAGAAACTAAAAGTTTTTCGACATTGAAAAAAATATCTTGTAAGTTTTAAAAATTATAAAAACACCCTTAAATATTCAAAATTTATAAAAAACACCTTGAAAATTTTAAACCTATAAACATACTAAAAAACTACAAATAACAAAAATAACCTCTAAAAATTTATAGAATTTGCAATACATACTCTAAACCTTTTTTGAATTATAAAAAAACCCTCAAAATTATAAAAATTACAAAAAATCTGATAATTTTTTACCTAATAACACATTTAAAATATAATAATTATAAATATTCTCTACATAATTTATAATTTACAGAAAAGCCCCTTAAAGTTTCAAAAATTATAAACAAACATTTAAAATTCAAAATGTACAAAAAACACCCTAAACTTTTAAATTCATTAGTAAATTGAAAACATAGGAATTATAAATAGTCTATAATAATTTACAATCTATAGAAAAGACCTATAAGTTTAAAAAATTATAAAAATCTTTAAAATTCATAATTTACAAAAGAAACACCATAAGAATTTCTAACCTATAGACACTAAATGAATATGAAAAATTACTAACAACCCCTAGAAAATTAAAATTTTGTAAAAAAAATATCATACATCTTTTAAAAGTATAAGTTTAGGAAAACCGTTTTATGGTAAATATTACCCATAATTTTTTTAAAAAGAGCATAACTAATTGAGAATCTATTAAATTTGAAATTTACAAAAAAACCACCCTTAAAGTATAGTACATTGCAAATTACCCCTCTAAAGTTTAAAAATTTTCAATGATTTTTTTGTAATTCCTTGATTTCAATGTAATGTTTAATAATTTTATGTATTTGTAAATTAAAAATTTTAGGGTGTTTTTTTACACTTTTTAAAACTTTAGAGAGTGTTTATTTTTTAGTTTTCTAAAATTTTATTGTGTTATCAATGTAATGTACATATACATCAATTAATGATAATATTGAAGGATAAGTCGTTCTTAAGATTATTAGATCATAGTTTAGTATGCACATCACTATTCCTAGATAGTATAGTTTATATATATAAAAAATTTTAGACAATCTATATAGTGATTAAAATTATTTTGACTTTAATGTACTATTTTTTATAAATTATATTTAATGTGAACCCACCATATAATTTTGACTGTGGTCATCATAATTTTGATACGTTTGATTGATTGATTATATACATATATAGACCATAGACTACTTTACTTTCTCACATGAGTTAATATTTTGTGCTTAATAATTTAAATTATTACTTTTAAATTTAATATAAAAAGGAGCTCTAATAACATTTATTTATTTACCTACAGCATAATACAATCTCAATTCCTATTTTTTGTTGGAGATTTAATCTATAGTTACACGTATCAATTTAGTAAATAAAATAATAGTTATTTATGCTTAAATTATGATGATTGTAGTTGGTCACTCACTATGAAATTTTTATGAAGTCAAATACCTTACTTTCTATAACTATATGCACTACCAATATATATTTTATAAATTAGTTCTTAATTTGACGTATTAAATTACTTTTTTGTAGTAATTTTTTCCTTGCCTTTTAGATTGTGTAATCACTATATCACCATTCTAGCATATAATGGACCTCACTCTAAATAGGCTTCAAGCCAATATTTGAGTTGCACTGAAGTATATACTATTGCTACTATGTATATATATATTTTTAAGAAAATCATGTTTAACACTTTTTAAATAGAAGAGAATATTCTAACATCTAATATTATAAAAACTAAATATAGCAATTGAATGATTATCAAAAGAGAACTTACATCAGAAAAATATGAATATTAAGATACAGAGGAAAGGTAATGACATTGTCAATAGTACTACAAATAGCAAACTACAATGTAAAATTAACATATTTTGTGAAGCCCAACTACTGGCTATAAGTATAAAGGTTTTTATATGTATACTTTATAATTTATTAAAAATAGTCATATAATCTTATATAATAAAATTAATTTAATATTGAATAATAATATCATTGTAATAATATGATTATTAGAAAAAAATTTCATGAATCGATATGTTCTTTACGATATATAAGTTATGCACTCCAAATTCGTGTGTCTTTTATAGAGCTAAAAAGTTTGAATACGAGCCTCTAATATATTGCTCTCACAATAGCAAAATCCACTTAAGAGATATGGATATTCCAGATGAGTATTGTATCCTATATACAATACAATTGTCCTATTCAAGTGAGTTATAATAGTATTTTTTATTCACATCGTTTGGGGTAAGATTTAATAAGGACCTTGCATCAAAGAAAAAAAAAATATTTTGAGCACATGGCGAAATATATCATAATCTCCATGTTCTAATTTTTTAAGAAAATAACTCTTCATACTTTCAGTATTACTTCTTTGATACAGAGAACGAGCTATAAAATTGAATGAAAATATTAGATAATACGAATATGAGTGAAACATCAACTAAAAATTAACGTGAATACGGGTCAAACACAACCAAAAGTTTAATAGACATATTACAAGTAAATTCATATGCAAAATTCTTTTGCGAATTGAGTGATCACACATCTTTTGAAGACTTTAAGATACTAATAAATAGAGATGTTTACTACATTAATGTGTTTATAACTCACAAATAGTAGATCACGTGGTCACAGTCTGGATTGAATGAAGTAATAATAATATTTTATTTGAGAGAGATTATTGAGTTGATGATCAATCTCGTAAATAACTTTGTTTTTTATTTTATTTTTATTCTATTTTTATCAATTTAAATAATTATGATATTTAACCACGTGTATTGCACGTGCATCTCTACTGGTTAAAAAAAAGTATGTGATGAGCAAATAACGCGTGTTCATTTAATTGGTTTGAAATATAAACCTTTACGAAAATATGAGGAAGAAGTGATGTGGGTTACAACTGTAAACAGACAAGGGTTCTGCTGGACCATGATCCCCTCTAATGCTCCCTTCAAGCCGTCGGTGGTGTTCGAAACTTATCCTTCAAGCCGTCGGTGGTGTTCAAATATAAGAGCTTTTCTTTCATGCCAATTTCAGATCTCAGATCTGATCCGACGGCAGGGTCTACAGGGCCAGGCCCACAACCTTATGTTATGGGCTTATATATGGATACAGAGCATTTCATGTTAAAGCCACTCTACTCCTCCTCCTCCAATGGACTATAGCTGTTCTCTACGTGATTGCATCCTCTCTAGATAATGGATAGCATGATGGTCAGCATCACAATCGTTCTAGTTATCGTCTAAGTCTTCAACTTCAAGTTCTGTGAAGTTATGTGCTAAAGTTGTTAGAATTAATATAAAATTATAATCTTTGATTTTTATCATATCTTCGAAGTTTTTGTTTAATGGTTAGAGAAGCTAAATTTAAGATGGTATCAGAGCAACTCAGGTTCAAATCTCACCGACTATGAATTTTAAGTGGATTTTCTAAAAATTGACACCATTGCGCGAGTCTAGATTTTAGCCCATAACAAAAGGCATTCAACCTGCGGGAGCATGTTAGAATTAATATAAAACTATAATCCTTGATCATTATCATAACTTCTTGATCCACGAGTCAACAACTCACCACGATCATATAAGGTCATCTCCAACCGGTCTACAATATGGAAAAATCTCCAAATTTGGAGAGTGAATCCTCTCCAAAGTACTATTCAAGTTTCATTAATTACAATTTTGCTATTTTTAACTATTTAATTTCTTAAAAATTACCACTTTGTCATCATTCTTAGTAATTTAAATTAGATGTTTAATTTCAAATAAATATAGTTAAAAATTTATAAATCTAATATTTGAAATCATTATATATTTGGAAAGTTCTCATTGAGATCTTTAAAATAAAAATAAGATTA